TTTCCAGTTTGAGACTGATATCAAAGCGTCATATGCTTCTACACAAGGAGTGCTCTTTGATGATAATTCCTACAAATTTGCTTTAAAATAGGGCGTAGAAGAACCAAGAACCAGGAAGGTCTACCTTCAACAATTCTTGCGCCCTAGATACGCTTTCAGGAGTGGCGAACCTAAATGGATGAAAAAAGGACACAGACGAGATAAGGGATAGTTACACTTACTTCACCAGTCCAGCTACCATTGCTGATGTCGTCTCGGGGGTTTTAGGCAGGGTCTCGTATAAGAGGTCAACAATTCCACCCTTAACATTTTCTCTAAGACTATTCAAATAGGAAGATCAGATTCAATCAATACTGGTGTCCAAGTGTTTGGCTCGTTCTCGCCAAAAGCACGCATTCCATGCCACTCTTCCCACTCGGAAAACGGAACATTTTTACCATTATAGTATGCGACTAGCTTGAAGAGTTCCATCTAAAGCATTTAATATGAGGTACCATGAAGCGAAAAGTGACAAATACAGCTCATTGTTTTTCACTTGAAACAGGTCTGAGTTAGCAAAATTTTCGATACCAAAAGCAGCAGACGGCGACTGCACAAGGCTAATGAATGCCAAGAATTCGAGATTGTAAATTAACAAACGCTCCAAGGTAAAAAAAAAAACTTCGTTAAATTGGTTAATCGAACCTGCACTTGTTGAGAGACCTCGATATTTTGGCCCCGCATACGTTCGTACAGCATCACGGCATCCTGTACTTCTCGTTTTTCAATCATGGAAAGAAGGTTCTCATCAGTTGGATCAACCTTAATATTAGAAGAGATCGAAAATAATATCAAATTTATTAATTATTGCTCCTGATTATTCATCAACTCAGATTTAAAATAACCAATATCTACATATAAACTACCTTTAGCGGATCACTAGGTTTTTGAGGGCGAAAAGCGGTCAGATATGGTTCATCACGATCTAGAGCGAACAAGGTGGGCCACTCCTCTGCTAGCTGACGAGCGGCACGCTTTCCCATTTCCTGTATGGGACAAACTCCATCACGTAGAAAAAACTCTGATTGTACTCAAAGTTTAACGTACTTTGGCCATATAATAGTTCCTCTTTGTCGCTGAGGTGCT